CTCATTACACTGATAATTTTATTACAACCTTTTTTCCTTTTATATTAGTGTGACCGGTTGTATTCGAAACCGGGACCTTTTAATTACTAGGCTAGGACGCTAATTACTAGACCATCGGTCATTGGCAAAACCCTAGGCAAAGGGGAGATGAGGTCGGGAGAATGAATGTGCTAATGTGATCACAAGTGCCACAATAAGATGGGCATAGCGTGTAGTACGCATGGAGATACATAAAAGATTTATTCAGAATTTTTCTTGGCGAATCTGAAGCGATCAATTGAGAGGAACAGGCATAGATAATATTGAAATTTTTGCTGAAGACGAAAGTATAACAATTTGGAGGCAACCTGGATTACATGATATAAATAATCGAAAAATATAATGCATTAAGCAGGCAGCCAGGAACTTTAGATGAGATTATTTGGCAAATAACTAAAACTGCAGTTAATAAAGCTTATCGAATTTTCCCAACTTGGACTGCAAGTTCGTTTTTAATCAGGTGTGAAATAGTACTCAGCTATTGGAGCTCACCCATTTATAATCTTGTTCGTTCACCCGACTTTGTTGTTGATATTAATTAAAAATTAAATATTACCTCCAGTTAAAAAACGACCAGTCTTCAAGTAATTCTACGTCAACCCTGATATAACCATATGCTTTGCCGCTGATTGTAATCTGGAGAAAGTGTCCAAATCCTGTCCTATCACCCACTTTATAATCAAAATTAAAGAAAGAGAGGGGAAATTTCCAGTCCGGCCACAAATAAACAATTTTACTGGAGAATTTTCCCCTAATTCGAAACTTCCAGTCTATGGGGTTTAGTGAGTAGTGAGGGCCATTTCTTCGGGATTAAGTGTCCGGAACGTCACGCTAACAATTCATCTCCATCTGGCGCCAAGGTTAAAAATGTACGTATCTTTACCTCCACTTCGCCATTCGTTTTCATGCTTACTTAACACACGGACACTCTTCATTTGTTAATACTGTGAATAACCTGGAACTTGCCAGATGGCACTATTTCGCAGCTGACTACTTATTTAGGAAATAATAATAGCATGTACACAGTTCAGTGAAGAAAATAATAGAGCAAGTGCCACCTGTGTTCAAACAGCATCAAGTTTTAAAGGGATAAGTTCGCCTGCGTGCACATTGGCGTGAGAATGACATATTGCACCTGGAAAAGGGTCCTTACGCAGCTACGGACTGGAAGCCATAATTTGGTTGGTTCGTACGAATGTTCACGAAGCTGTATCAACTGCAGTGAGCAGGAGAGGACAGAGAAGAAAGTTTTCGTGGCCGAACACCTAGATAGCCGTCGATCGATTGCGGTAATAGAGGGAATAGCAGTCTTCAGCTCACTGATCGTAAACAGCTTGCGAAATCTTATTCCATTTAATGTAACAAACGATGTTTACAAGAAACTGTTTAAATCATTAAAGAACGAAGGACCTAAAAATATCTCATATTAGATGGGTAGATGACGTAGTCTTGCATCGGCCTACACGGTCAATCAAGAAGAGAGGAGGGGAAAAGAGAAATAAAGACAAGGAAGAGAAGGAAGAGAAGTGACTGGGATAAAATATATTGTGACTTAATCAGTGATCACATTGTGGGTTCATACTCAAGCCGGATCTCTTGCACACTACCATAGTTGTGATTACAACTACAATTACAATTAATTTGCCTCCATGACCTCCCATTGCATTCTGTAGAGCCGTCATACTAGCGCATTACAATGGCTACATGATGGCCTCCATACCTGCCTAATACTACTAAGTAATATGGCGAATATTTTGTTGAACAATGTGGAGTGACTGTATAAGCCATCACTGCATACGGAACATACCTGCCCCAATTCCTGGCATCCTTATTCACAAAATGCGACAACATATCTACTAATAATTTATGCATTCGTTCACACTTCCCATTAGCCTGAGGTCGTTAACTACTTGTTTGCAATTTCTGTATTTTGAGCAATCTACATGTCTCTTGCATTAATGTTGAAACGAAAGAAGTTCCTTGGTCCGTTAGTAATTTATTTGGTACTCCGAACTGCGTTATAATTTTTGTCACAAATACTTGTGCAATACTTTCCTTATCCTAGGAATCAGAATGGTCTCACAAACCCTCGTAAAGTGATCTACAAATGTCAGAAAATATTTATTTCCTTAATCTGTTACCGGAAGTGGTCCTACCACATCTAGAGACAAAACGTCTACAAACTCACTAGCCTTTAAGCTTTCTCCTAGAGGCGCGTATGTTCTCTGGCTTGTTTTCCATTTTGCGCATGCATCACATGCTGACATCCCGACCCAAAGCTTCCCACCAATACTTGTGTTTAATAAAGTTGATCCTCCTTGCCACCCCTTGGTGAGCAGTGAACGGCAAATCATGAAAACACTTTAATAGGGGAGCCCACGGCAGAACGGGAAACTTAATCTTTTTGGTATGTGGAAGGGACGATAACAAAAACAAACACATGGATTTATTGTACATTCTAAATTTATAACGAGTTATTAGTTAAGTTGTAAGAGTTACAGTTTTTTAATTTTTTTTAAATGTCACTTGCCCCATTTTGCTCCGTGCCTGGGGCAAGACTGGGTGTGATTGATACATGTTTGAAAAAGTTGTAAGAAAACAGATTATGGAATAATTATTACATATGATGAAAAAATTATAAAGTATGCAATGTAAGTTCTCAAAATAGGCTACAAAAATGTCGAAACTTTACACATTTTAAATCTACTTAGGCGTAACACAGACGGCACACATGTGCACATCTTCATCATCGTGACTATCAACACCTTGACATGAGTTATGGTCCATCTCAAGCAAGACGAATACCGGATCCACCCTTCAATAGACTGCGAATGGACGTCGCCACATTACAGGCACTAGTCATCTTGATTCTCTTCTCGACTTTTACTTGAAGATGAGAGTCATGGCGGTCGTTTAGGCCTGCTGGTCTTGTTTTGTTTTTTTTGGTTTAGAGGGTTTTTCTAAAATCTGTTTTTTTCTATTGATTTGTTTGCAACTTTTCGTTGAGATTCCTTTGATTTTGCCTTGTATGGTGATAATGTTAAGGTTGCAGTTGTTCCTATCTTTCGTGAGCTTCGTTTATTACCTTGCGCTACTTTTGGTACTGGCAAAATACATTCAGGAGACAGTTTTTGGAAGCAAGTGGTTGCAGCTGTTGGAGTTTGTGTTCCAGCCGCCATATTTGATGTTGCAGTTGATAAATCAGCTGTTGTAATTGATGTCCCAGTTGCTGCATGTGGTGCCATAACTGTTGTTGTCGGTTCAGCTGCCTCATTAAGTGTTCTAAGTGCTTCAAGTGACCTTTCGGACGCCACAGAATTATCTCGTACAGACAAACATTCGGGCTGAGACCCATCATTGATAGGAAACTGGGAGCTAGAAGCACCAAGCTGAATATCAGTTGTGGTTACTGGAAGAAAATCTGTTTCTGTGAAGACGTTCACATCCACTGGCCATATACCTGTTCTACGGAAGCCATTAATTGCAGTCAACATCGTTGCTGCTTGCAAATATGCTGCTCCAAATAAAGAGGCTATCTGGAAAAGTGGGACAACGCGCCCTGGATGACTTCGTAGCCACTTCCTCACTTCATCTTCATAATATTTACTCAACGGTTTCGTGAAAGCCACGTCTAACGGCTGTAGTTTATGGGTGCAGTGCGGAGGAAAGCAAAGCAAAACAACACCCTTCTCTCTCGCTAGATCAATCAAATCAATGCTCTTTGTGTGTGACGCATGGCCATCCAACAGTAGGAGCACTGGTGACTCTTTCGATGCACCTGAGAAGGCAACAAAATTTCTGAACCAAGACAAAAATGATTCCTTCTGAATCCACCCCGTTTCGTGCACTTCGACCCAGGATCCAGGGGGTAGTCCGACGAGAAACTCTTGTCGCATGCGCTTTCTCGGGAAAATCAACATAGGAGGCATGTAGACGCCAACAGCAGAAAAGCATATTTCTGCAGTGATTGTTTCACATCTCTCAGCTAATGTGATCGTACCAACCTGGCGCCTTCCTTTTAAAGCGACAATGCGAGAATGGCCTTTTGGATTTACAGTGATTCCTACTTCATCAACATTGTACATTTTGCCTGGCGAAAATTGGTATTTCTGCACAACGTCTGTTAAGAGAGAAAAGAAATTTGAGACAGCCACTTTGTTAAAGCCCATGGCACGGGCAGCCGATGTTGATTCTGGCTTCCTGAGTGAAATTTCTGGATGCCGAGTCATAAAACCTTTCAACCAGTCTTCGCCTGCCATTTCCTCTTCTTTATTAAAAGGATTGTCTCGATCATTTCGCAAAGCGAGCTGAAATGCTAAGGATCGTAATTCTTTAGCAGTTAATCCAAACAGTTGCTGCTCCATTTTCACTAAATATTCCACCAGTTCTTTTTCCTGATTTTTGTCGAAAACGCACTTAAATCGCCCCATTTCTTTGGAGATACCACAGCCCGGATTCTCCCTTTCCTTCTTCACATATCTCTCTAAGGTTGTCTGAGGTACAGCAAATTTATTGGCGGCTTTCTTACATCCCATTTCACCATTCACTACTGACAAAACAGCTTCTTTCATTGACTGTTCTGACCATTGTTGTCGATCTAACGTTCTCTTATAATCGCGAACCATCTAGTAAAATAAATAAGACAATAAAATTAGAGGAAACAACAGAAGTAAAAACACTCTGGGCAAAACGTGGTGCTCCGAGTATACCCTTACAGGTTAGGATTGTCCCACCAAAAATGACATAATGAAAATAAATGAAAACATTGTGTTTAAGACTTTGAAGAAAACACCTTGTAAAATGCATCATTTAAGAAAGTGGATATGAATAATGAATAGAACGTACCTTCACTAGAAGTTGCGGAAATTTACAAAATCTAGGAGCAAAATCCAGCGTGGGTGATTATTTCAGAAACTTTAACCACAAGATGGCGCTGACTGACATGACGTGATCCTGTGCAGTATGCTATTGAAATTTCACCCGGTCCCGATAGATCGCAGCGCATTCCAGACGAAATAAAGCCGATACCCGTGGCCCCGTCCTGCCCCCGGCTCCCCTACTTCTGAAAGCATTGATCGTGAGATCACAACAAGGTGTTGCCATTTCATCCCCTCATAGTATAAGACACCATCATCTTTATAACCTTTATCATGCGTGACATACTTATGACACAATACGTCTCCTTCTTGAGCGTTTTTAATTACCTCTTTCACCAAGTAGTTTTCCACCACATTAACATGCCGTGACAACGGCGTGGTACATCTTCGAATTCGGTCGATGCTCGACTGTAAAATCATACTCGGATAATTTGTTCTCCCATCGAATAAGTCTAGAACTAGGATCTTGCAAGCTCAATAACCATTTTAATGCACGGTGATCCGTGTATACCGTAAACTTGCGGCCGTATAGATAACATCGGAACTGTTCGGCTGCAAATATTAAAGCCAATAATTCCAATTCAGTGACACTATACCTTGACTCAGTCTGATTTAATTGCCTACTGCAATAAGCAATGGATCTCTCTGCTCCATTACGCATCTGGGACAAAATGGCTCCAATGGCCTTGGTTGACGAATCGCATGTGACTATAAAAAGTTGTGAAAAATCTAGATAAATTAATAACGGTTCAGTACCTAATATTTGTTTAAGTTTGTCAAAAGCCTGCTAATGCTCCAGCTTCCATTCAAATGGTACATTTTCCTAGTTAAATTAAAAAAGGTTTGGCAATCTCCGCAATATTTCGCACGTGTCGTCTATAATAACTATATAATCCAACAAAGGCCAGTAGATCTCTAACGGTTTTCGGTTAGGGGTAGTCCTGTATTCATTTTATCTTACGAGGATCGGGTTCGAATCCACCAGGACTCAAATCCAGGACAGTTTCTGGGGGCTGTGGCCTTTGTTTCTGTAATCTCTGATTTGTAGGTTGTTGGGCCGTGTGGTCTAGTATAATTTAACTGACTTTTGAAAAGAACTTGTTGCTTCCATTATCAGGGCCATAAATGAGCCGTGCGCGAGGTATCAGAATTTAGACTTGGCGCCATTCTTCTTTCGTGCTTAATTTCCGAGATACAGAAACAATCCTCACAGGACTTGAACTCTGGACAATTTTTTCGGGTTTCTGATCTTTCTAAAAGTCTTTCTGGTCTCAAAGAAGAATGCAAAGTTTCGTACAAATCTGTATATCCATTCTCGAGCTATAAGAAGAACCCAATTTCGATTTTATACAGAAAAATATAAGGAGATTAAAATATATAATAAAATTCAGGTCAATACACAAACTTTATTTAGATGTTAAAATTTAAAATTTAAATGTTAAAATTTAAAATTTAAAT